GCCTAAGGTCATATTTCAACAATAGAGGGGGTACTATCAAAATAACTAAACAAGAGAAATAATCGAATGCCTTTACACTCCTCGCCTGAGGGTTAATCCCTCACAACCATAGTTATCTAAATCAAATTGAGGAATAATAAACAATTAAACTTGAAATGTCTACTCAATGATTTTTATCGGCTTGTCTCAAAATAATCACAATCTCCCCAATCGGTCGTAAGTAAGTCCTCTTCGCTCCATCTCTGAACATGGAAACATTCACTTTTCTTATTCGTCCGTCAGCGCTAGGCACAACACTTTCAATGACACCCAATGGCCAAAGATTCCTTTGGGTTTCTTTGTCCCTTAAAAGCACAACATCTTCAACACACACATCTACTTGGTTGTGCGTCCACTTTTTCCTAACCTGCAATTCTTGAAGGTATTGCTTCCTCCATCTGACCCAGAATTGGTCTGCAAGGTATTGAACGCGTCTCCATCGACGGCGGCAGTACAAGTCTTGTTTGGTGAAAACTCATGGGGCTGTAACCAATGGGCGAGTTTTCATAGTTAAGAGCATGTTTGGAGTAAGTGGCTGTGGGTCATTCGGATCCGAGGAAATAGTAACGATTGGTCTCGAATTTACAATAGCAGACGCTTCAGCCAAAGTTGTTAACAGTTCGTGCGTTAACTGGCGAGGTCCAAGTTCTAACATCATGGCATTAAAGACCTGACGAACTGTCCTGATTTGGCGTTCCCAAACGCCACCGAAGTGGGAAGAGTGTAGGGGGTTAAATTCCAACTGACATCCTTTATCTGTAAGATGTCTGCTAACGATATCCTGGTCAATTTCAGATAAGGCTTGGTCTAACTCAGATTCCGCTCCAATGAAGTTGGTGCCTCTATCGCACCTTAGTAATGCAATGGGTCCACGGATAGCAATAAATCTCCTTAATGCACAAATAAATGCACTTGTGTCCATTGATTCCACAATTTCGATATGAATTGCCCTTGAAGCAAGGCATGTGAAGATAACTCCCCATCGTTTTTTGTTGACAGATGACCCTCTAGTTTTCCTGGCGTTAATCAGCCAAGGACCGAACACATCCAGTCCGACATTGGTAAAAGGTGGACCAGGTTCAATCCTATCTTGAGGCAGATCTGCCATGATTTGTGTTTCCGTAGACCTCCTGAGCCGTCTACATGTAACACACTTCCCGATGATTGTTGCAACCATTTGGCGACCACCAATAATCCAGTAGCCAGCACTCCTTATGGATCCATGCGTGATCTGCCTGCCTTGGTGATGTGTTTGTTGGTGGTAGTAATGTATAACAAGTTTCGAAATGTGATGGTTCTTTGGCAGAAGTATGGGGTGTTTTTCTTGTGCTTGAAGATGTGAATGGTGGAGCCTTCCCCCAACACAAAGAAGGTTATCTTCATTGAGGAATGGATTCAGTCGACAGAGTTTGTTCCCTTTAGGTAATCCACTGGTACTTGTCTTTATGTGCGTTACTTCCTCACCAAACTCTTCTAATTGGGCTTGTCGAATTATCAATTTGCATGCTAGCATGATATCAGTCACCGATGGAGTGATGAGCTTGTTAATTCCCACAGGAATTGCTTACCATCCCTGCTACACCTAGGCCGATCCTTGTATTTCCTGGCGATACTTATCAGGCTTGCTATTGCCCTCTGCAGTTTTTGCTAACTTGAAAACCGCTGAAATCTATGCGTTCCAATGCCATGTGGTTTACCGGTCGTGGTATGGTGTACTGAGATGAATGGTCGAACATCTGGATCAGAATCTTCTACAGTAAATTTCTCATCAGAATCTATTGGTGACACATTTGGGAAGTAGAGAAACTTCGGGCCTTGGAACCACGATGAACTTGATATCTCCTTAGCTGATATCCCTCTTGAGGCGATATCCGCAGGGTTAATTTCTGTAGCAATGTAGTGCCACTGTTGGGGTTTTGAAACACTATGTATCTGCTGAACACGGTTCGCTACGTAAACATAAAACCGGCGAGATTTGTTTTGAATGTATCCCAATACAACTTTTGAGTCTGTGTAATAGTAGGTTTGGTCAACCACAACATCTAGTTCGGATGTAATCTTCTGAACTGCTTGCGTGGCCATTACGGCGGCACACAATTCTAATCTTGGTATGGATGTGACAGCAGTCGGAGCCACTTTGGCTTTTCCTAAGACAAATGAAACGTAAGGTGTTCCTTGTTTGTCGATAGTACGTATGTATGTGGCTTGGCCAATCGCTTTTGTGCTAGCATCAGAGAATGAATGCAGTTCGATTCTCCTCGCCATGCTGAGTCCCTGTGGTAAGTAACACCTGTTCACATGGAGATTTTCTAGGTCGCTCAGCTCGTCCCTCCAGAGTTTCCATCGATCCTTGAATTGATTTGGGAGTTGATCATCCCATCCAATGCAATTAGCGTCCATCTCACCAGCCTTGGTCGTTAAGGTTAGCTGTTGAAGTATGGACTTCCCTTCAATAATTACGGGCGCTACGAACCCTAAGGGGTCATATAATGAGTTTACAGTTGAAAGTATCCCTCTTCGAGTAAAGGGTTTGTCTTGCAGATCTACCTTGTAGGTGAATGTATCACTATGTATGTCCCAGTAAACTCCAAGAGATCTTTGTACAGGGATTGGGTCTTGTTGGAGATCCAAACATTGGAGAGCCTTTGCTCTGTCTTTCGTAACATTTATTTCGTAATGGTCATAAGAAAGAAAAACATACATATGAACAATTATATTCTTAAAATTAAAAAAAAAAGCGAAATTAAACCATCACAGGGATCAAAACTAGAAGTAAAACTTGTCTCATATTGACCCCCCCCCCCAAAAAAAAAAAAAAAAAAAAAAAAATA